CGTCGTGGTCGTCGTTCGTCGTCGTCGTGGTCGTGGTCGTCGTCGTCGTCGTCGTCGTCGTCGTCGTGGTCGTCGTCGTCGTCGTCGCCGTCGTCGTGGTCGTCGTCGTCGTCGTGGTCGTGGTCGTCGTGTTCATCGTCGTCCTCGTCGTGGTCGTCGTCCTCGTCGTTGTGGTCGTCGTCGTGGTCGTCGTCGTCGTCGTGGGCATCGTCGTCGTCGTGGTCGTCGTCGTCGTCGTCGTCGTCGTCGTCGTGGTCTTGGTCGTCGTCGTCGTTGTTCGTCGTCGTCGTCGTCGTCGTCGTGGGTGTCGTCGTCGTGGTCGCCTTTGTCGTGGTCGTCGTGTTCATCGTCGTCGTGGTCGTGGTCGTCGTCGTCGTCGTCGTCGTCGTCCAGGGACGGCCTCCTTGGCGAGGACTTTCCCGCCCTGGGCTCGAGCAGGCTGCCCTCGGCAGAGAGATCGGGGGGCGGCGACCTGTCGCGGGCAGCCGGCACGTCCGTGTGTACCACCGCCTCGCTGTCTGGGCCTTCCCCGCCGCGAGCCCCCGTGAGTGCGGGGGTCGGCCTTGCGCGGGTGCGCCCCTCCGCAGACTCTTTGTCCACGGGACTGCGTATCTTTGGGACCCCGCCTCGATGTCCAGACCGCGGTGTCGTGTGGTTGTAAGCCCGCGGGCGCCACGTGGTCCAAGACACTCGGGCGCTGGTCAAGCAAGCGGTGTGGTGCACGGGGAGCGAACGGAGGCGCGGGGGCCAAAGAGAGCAGAGCGCGAGAGGCACAGATGGGAGAGCCCGCTCAGACCGGGACAGCCGGCGCGGGGATGCCGGGGCAGATTTTGCAGCTGCGTCCGAGCAGCGGAAGGCCAGGGCCAGCTTTGAGTGGAAGGCCTAGACTCGACTACAAGTCAGCGTGACCCTTCGCCGGAGTGACCTTGGGTGCGGGCTCATAGGGGACCCCCCGATCGCTGAGCGCGATGCGATGGTGGCTGCTTGCGCGCGCGGATTTGGCCACCCTGCGCCCCCTCGTCCGCGCTCAGGTCACTCCTGCCTAGGGTTAAGTCGGGCCTGTCCCTCTACAGGAGGAAGATACCAAAATAGTAGAGAAATAGTCAGGGGACGTTCTTTTGAGTATTGTTTGATCATTTGGAGGTATTTTTGGAATATTTCCCTACCTAGGCTCTGCCTAGAAGGGTTCTTACTCTCTGGGCTTAAAGGGGCTGGGCAGTGCTAATCGCCTCGGGCGGTTCCCCCGGTATCCGCCCCGCGGTTCCCCCAATTACGTCCCCTTAGCTTAGCGTTGCTTATCTCATCTTAGCTTAGCTTATTCCATCTTAGCTTAGCTTAGCTTCATCTTAGCTCAGGTTTATCTTAGCTTAGCTTACCTTCATCTTAGCTTCGCTGAGCTTTAGCATGGCAGAGCACAGCATAGCATAACATAGCATAGCGTAGCATAGCATGGCGCAGTATAACATATCATAGCATAGCCCAGCATAGCATAGCATAGCGCATCATAGCATATCATAGCATAGCATAGCATAGCGCAGCATAGCATAGCATAGCATAGCATAGCATAGCATAGCATAGCATAGCATAGCATAGCATAGCGCAGCATAGCATAGCATAGCATAGCATAGCATAGCATAGCATAGCATAGCATAGCATAGCATAGCATAGCATAGCAACTAATGCTGCTTTCCTAGGGGCTCCAACGTCTAGGTAGGGTCGCACTGGGGTAATTTTAAGTTTTCGTCCAACATCTCCCTGTAGGAGGACAGGCTCGACTTAAGCCTAGGGCCACTCTGTAGTGTAGCCGACGGATGAGGCACGGCGCCAGGACGAGGGGGGCCACGAGCGGGGCCAGAGAGGCCGGGAGCGCGGAGGAGGAGGGCCTCCGGAGGTGGCGGTGCTCCGAAACAACGGAGTGTGCAGTCACGGCGCTGCAGCCAGGGCCACCTCGGGCTCGGGAGGGGCCGAGATTTTCGGGCCGTGCCTTCGATTTTGGTCGTGGAGCCTGTCTGTGCACTGTGGCCCAGGCCCACCGTGGCCAGGAGAGTGCCTTGTAGGAGGAGGAGGAGGAGGAGGAGGAGGAGGAGGAGGATCCTTTTTCTGCGTTCTTCATGGAAGCGCGGCGACTGTATGTGGACGTGCTAGTCGCTCGTGAGGCCGGGGACAGGATGGGCCTCCTGGGCATTCTCGGCAGCATCTGCGCGCGCTCCCGTCCGCGCATCCTGGAGCGGTCTCCTCGTTCGGTCCTCCTGCCCCTGTTGGCGCGCCCAGCTTCATGCTGGCAGCCTGGAGCCCGTCTTCCTTGCTCGCCCTTCCTGTTTCTCTCTCTTTCGCGCGCCCTTCCTGCTGCTTGCTTCGCGCGCCCCACGTCGCTCACTTCTTGCTCGCCCTTCCTCCTCCCCGCTCATCCTTCCTTGGAGCCCTCTCTGCCCTCGCAAGCGCAGATTTCAAGTCGAGATGCCCTCTGTCCATGCGACTCGAGCCAGTCAACCCGTGTAAGACCGGAGGTTAGACGTGTGCAAGCTTCTGTGAAGATGGCCCCAACGGGATATCGTGTCTGATTTGAGTCGTTCAGATTCACATACTTCGTGGTAAGGAAATGCATTTGGTCCTCTTTGAGGCCGTCGACAAGGGAGCAACGCCATGGGTTGTGGTTGCTTCTGGGCGTCTTCGCAGATGGGCTCAGCTCAAGCGTCCACTGCTCTTCCTCCTCTTTTCTCCGTTTGATTGGACTTAGCTTAATCGCTCTCTGCTCAAACACGGCCTCGCTTCTGTGCTCCTCCTCTTCTCTTCCGCCTCCCCCTCGTGTCGCTTGAGCCTTTTGCCTCTGGCTCTGCCTGGGCTTAGAGCAACTGCTGTGCGTGACATCCGTCTGTGGCAACCACGCTGCTCACTTCTTCGTGTCCGCTCCTGCTTTGTTTGGCTTTTTCCTCGCTTTCTCGGTTTCACACATCACCAGCTGAACGCTTCTTGGATCAAGCCCAGGGATATCACGCTTGCTTGTTTGAGATGCTTTGTCGTTGGCAAGCGCCGTGATGGGCTTAGCCTAATAGTCCACACATTCTGGTGGCCCTCCTTTGCAGGACACGTGAAACTGATGCGCACGCTGTGCTCCCTAGAGCTAAGGCGCTGAAGTGAGGGCCGCTTTGGGCTTGGGAGGTGCTCTGGTTTTCGTACCGCCCCTCATATCTACGCCGGGGAGACTCTTCGTGGCCGAGGCTCGCCGTGGCCAGAGACGTCCCTTCGTTCCTCGTTCGGTTCTTTTGGTAGCGCGAGGACGATCGGCTGCAGGCCGGCCCAGCAGGTACATTATCATACGCGCCCGACGGAGCATGCCCCTGGACGTTTATTGGCGTCGGCGGCGCAGCGCGTTCGGACATTTCTGTCCGTTCCGCATCGTGGGTATCCAGGGATCAGAAAGTCGGATGCATCCCTCGCGCAGATCGCGGCGTCACGGTCCCAAAGCCGGATGCGTGGTCACTGTTATTCAATACTCAATGGCTTTCGGCCCATCCCGCCACCGTGCCTGGGATGTAGGGCAGAGGCCTTCTGGATGCCTGTGGGGATCTCCTGAGAGGCTTCTCTGAAGCCTCTTGGAGACAAATTGGAGATGTCTCGGGGCGTCTCGGGGGCCTCTTGGGGGCTGCTCCCAGCGCTCCTGTCCGCTCCCCCCTGCTCGATCTGCAAGGCAAGAG